CAAAGCCGCATGAACCCATTCAGTCGAGATGGTCCGAGAGAAATTCGCCAATACTATAGTAGGCCTTAGAAAGAAGCAATGTTTTAACTGCTTTTTTAAATGCTACAGTGTTCATCTGTTTGAAATGGTCTGGTAACTGATTGAATAATTTTATTCCCATATATTTGGGAGAATGTTCGAATTTTATAGTTTTATGTTTAGGAATGCTATCTCTCTGCATATCGAGTTGGGTAGCTATGATAGAATGAGTTCTTAGTACAGTCTGTTATACATTCGCGGACTGTACTAAGAACTCATTCTATCATAGCTACCCAACTCGATATGCAGAGGAGTTGAGCATTCCTAAACATAAAACTATAAAATACAGTAGTCTTCCTTGTTACCATTAAAAGTTAAACTCATGAAAATATAGTTATGTTAACAAATTCACAATATTTTACTCCATTCTGCTATTTATCACACAATTTCAGATAAAAATTGAGTTATACAACTTTCCCTTTGTTTTTGTTATCTTATCTGAATTCAGTAGATAGTTTATGTTAAGTAACTTTGATAAGATTTGAAATTCTTAAGAATCCCCATAACAGATAAATAATTTAACATGATGAAAAACAAGAAGTTATAAATCTTCATTGAGAATTTTGACATCATAAATATTTTCTTGGTACCCAAAATTTGAAATTTCATCTCAACTTCTATTCAGTTGTGTCCTTATGAAAGAAACTTCGAAACATTCTTACCATGTATTCACAAAAATTACAAATTCGGGAGTAAATGTATTGGCATTATGATTGGTTGAAAGCCTTGGTGCATCTCCATTTACAACTTCATGCAGCTGATCGAAAACACTGGACCATTTTTGGTAAGGAAAATTACCAGTTGCCACCTCCATCAAGGTTATCCCTAGTGACCAAACATCACTCCTTACATCATATCCTTTTGCAGTCTGAGGATCTATTCTTTCAGGCTAAAGACATATGTTTATTTTATGTATATGTGTTTGTAAGCAAACATAAAGAAAGTATAAGTTGTAGAGGTTGAATTTGATTTTCAATAGTAACCGAAATAAAAGAACTGAACACGAATCATAAAACGAAACAGATGGTACAAAATTTGTTAAAGAAACTCACTGCCATATAGGGTCGGCAACCAGCATCTTTTGTTCTAGCAATTGAGTCTACAAGTTGACCTGAAATGCCAAAATCACAGAGTTTGATATTTCCTCCTTTATCTAAGAGTATATTGCTTGGTTTTATATCCCTGTGGATAATTTTAAGTTCTTCCTTGAGATAATTTAAGGCATTAACAGTCGCTAAAGCTATTTTTCCAAGAATAGGCTCAGGAATCCTAGTTTTGAGCCTCTCATAGATGAATTTGTAAAACTTATCCAAACATGTGTCCATCAACTCCATGCAAATCCAACAGTCACCCTGAAAAATATATTTCTAATATATAATATGTTCAATCTAGTAATAATAATGTCTTTCATTTACCAAGGTAAAAAAGAAAGTACACAAAGGAAAATACTACGGGTTTTGTAAAATACAATATACAAAACTTTAAGTATTCATCAAATATATAATGTACAAAAAATTATAGTGCCTACGTAGTAAGAGAGAGAAAAAAATCAAAGGAATAAAAAACGGGTAATTCATATTGCTAATGCCATTATGTTCGTGAATATTGTAAGAATTAACAGACAGAAATTTAGTGAGGTTGATTCCAAAAATAAGTTTTTCTACAACAGAAGAAAAATGAAAATTATGCCGGGCCTATATCAAGATATTTAAAATTGAAACATTCAAATTCAAAAATAGATATACATATTCTGCTGAACCCCATATCCCTTCAAAATTGCATGTTACTTATAAATTTTCAACCAATTTGATTGAACTCTTATCAAGCCAATTTAAATCCATCCCCTCATCATTTTCTTTCTGTCGTTTTCTCATTTTATTTTTGGTCCTTTTGTGAACCGATTGTCACAGTTATGGCATGTTTAATTTATTGCAGTATAGTTCATTTCAAAATGTGGCTTCCTGATTTTCTCTGCCTTTGACACGTAATGGTGCATTCAATCATTGTGAAGTGGCAGTCAAAATGAGCTCAAGAAATTTAAATAAGTTCATGTGTAAAGTTGACGTACATCTTGACATACATTTTTTCTAATTAGATTATGATCGACAGATGTTTTTAGTTACGTTTTTTAATCTCAACAGGCTGAAAACAAACAATGCCAAATTAGCAGTTAATATGCTCGAGTGTAATTAAAGGCAAATTGAAATTGATTTATTTTTCGTCATAAGTGTTCAAAATAAAACAAAACATGGTTAGGAGCATATATCAAAAATTGAGTCGAAAATGTATAGATTACTCCATTATCAATGCACGAGCCAGACTTCTCATTATCAACTAGATGATGGTGAAAACTTTTGCATCAACAGTTGATGAACAGATCAACTATATGGACCTCCAACAGGGACTTCCGAAATTTTACATCAAAATGGATGTTCTGTTCGGGCAACGTTCCGCACGCTTCGCCCATTTTACGGTCGCCATAATCGTCCTGACGAGAGGACTATTCGCAATGTGGTGGATAAATCTGAGTCCACTGGTTCAGTAAAATATCGACCAACACAACTTGGCGAATTTTGCGTCGTGACTTGAGCCTGCAACTGACCCAGGAACTGAAAAGGTCAAGGACCACAGACGACGTGTGGGATCTGGAGCAGTTGGCAAGACTACATATAGTTATAGAGGTCCAATTCACTTTTTATAAGGTGGTATTTAAAAATTGGCCAATAGTTTGTTTATTACTTAACTACTGTTTATATACTTCACCTTAGATGTTTGAAGGGTATGATGAAAAAAAAAAGGTGTATTACATGAGCTTAGGATGTTTTATAATTCACGAACATCATCAGATGTTTGAAGTGCATAATGATAGAAAAAGGTGTGTTGTAGAAGAATATGTATGTACTTATTAACTGACTCAAGAAATAGGCATTATAAGTGAAAAAAAACACCAGTATTTCAACACCAATACATGAGGAAGGGCAGCATTATTATTTAATTTTTTGGCTCGTTACCCATATTGATTTTAATAAGAGTATGCTTGCCATCTGTTCCTCTGGCTCCTTGAAGCTCATGATCCGTTGAAGAGCATTGCAGTTCTCATAGTGAAACGATGTCCCAATATATTGAAGTGTTCTAGAGATTTCACCCTGGCTTGCTTCCACAAAATTATTTCTTGTAAATTGTAGCAAGGTTTTGCTAAAACAGCTTACGATCTTCTATTCTTCAGCCCCTCTGATCCAATTCCACATTGGGATGTATTCTCATTGAGAATTGAGTTTCCTTCCATTCAAAGACAGACCAGAAAGTACAATCTCCTCTCCAATCAGTGTCACTCAGGACTCTAATTGAACAGAATGTTGTTTTCTGTAGAAAGAGTTTCGTAATCCCTTTGAATTTGTGGTAGTATGTGCAGTTTAAAAACATCAGCTTCTTCACCATCTCCATGGTCCTCTCTGTATACATTATATAGAAACTTTATTTCTTCTTTATAATTATATTATTTATCATGTAAATATCCACGCAAAAATCATAGGTCTGTCCTGTTCTGAACCCAATAATTTTGTAGGTCCTGCCAAGAAAAATAGGTTGTCGGACTTGGAGAGGCAGTTGAAGATTCTGAATAATCAATCAAATGCAGACAGCATAAGTACTGGCTCTACGGGAATGTCTGCCAAGGATTTGGTCAAATCAGAAATTGACAACATTCTAGGCTCTGAATGTGTGTATTGCGGAGAGAATATGATTAGAAACATCGACAAACCCTTCATAGAAGATTACGAACATGAGAATATTATGAGAGAATGGGAATAGTCAACACATATTCAATAAAACAAATTATACTATACATTTTTTTTACTTATACTCAACATAAAATAAATGATACTGTTCATTTTCAAAACAATTGAGTACAAAACTTGAATATTTACAATATCAAGATACAATAGGCAACTTCTCCATTACTCTTTAAACAGTAACAATTTCAAGTCGACATAATTTTTGTAAAATATTCCAGATAAATATACATAAAAATTCATAAAATATAAATAAATCATAAAAACAAAGCACCGATAATAAAATTTTATTGTTAAGAAATCAATGTTTTTGGATTTTTGTTCAATTTTAATTTTGAACTTGATGGGTTCAAGTTTCCTTAATGTACTTCAAATAAATTCACAAGACAAGAATTTCTCTACTGGTATTTTTTAGAAAAAAGATTCAAAAGCATTGATTTTTCCACACGAAGATCACATCACAAATGTACTAAAATTACTGCTAAAAATAAAATTGTTTACAATTACTATGTACAAATGGACTTTTTCCTTGGTGTATAATGTATCAGTAACATTCTTGTATAAATACTTTCAACATATTACATCAGTATTCTAATTATTTATCAAATACCCCTCTATAAAACGTCAACTAACAAAAATTATGCTAGGATTAAGATCAGAGTGGTTGGAAAGTGTACATATCGACATTTTCAGGAAGAGTTACATTGACTTCATATGATATAGGAATAATTTACTCGTCTGTAATTATCAGGACTTTATTTGCAAATCAAAATTGACTTCCTTGATAACTGTTTGTAAAGTGGCACTCTATGTCAAAAATGAAAATTTTAAAAGCATTTGTTGTGCCCAAAGAAATGTTTCGCTACAGTATTTATGCACTTCAAACAAGAAAAGACACATTTTATCCCAAAGGTGACATTTTTCTTCTCAAAATCCCAATAAGAGGCCATCCATAAATTACGTCATACGCTAAAGGTAAGAGAGGTAGTCAACAAAATGTGACGAGGGGGAGGATGAGTCTTAAACTTCATGAAGAAACATGCATAAATTCAAAACGATCTTGGCGACAGTATGCAAACTATAATTTTCATTGTGAAGAAAATATTATCGACTATCAATATTTATAAGATTCACCTTGGTTTGTGTCACTTTTTACCATGTGACCATCAGTATACATTTGATAGAAGCTATTATATAGTGAAACACTTGTATGTACCTTTAAGGACAGGTAGCCAGATTTTATTACTGTTCATTGCCTCTTCTTTTCTATTAAAATTATCCCTGTTTTTGAATTTCTATTGCATCTCTATATACTCTTGGATAGTCATTTTAAGGGATAATTTCGATAAAAAAGAAGAGGCAATGCACATTAATAAAATTTTATGAAGAACACTATATTTAACAAGAATATATTTGAATTCAATACTTTAAAATTGAAAAATGTGTCATGTCACACAGAGTCAGTTGGAAACACTAATATAATAACCTGCAAAATTGACAGAAATGTTCAAAAAACCATACAAGTCTTGTGACATAATTTATGGCTAGTCCTATACATGTGAAAAACGGTTTCAATCACATTTACATGTAGAGTAAAAAAAAATGTGGCAGGACAGAGAGAAGGAATATTAATAAATAAGTTTCAGTTCCATTTTTCGTAAAATGAAAATATATGATAGAACTGACCGATATTTGATCTATTCAAAAAACAAACTCTAATGTGAAATTTCCATTCGCAAGTTAACAAAAGTGTGACACGTGTTTCACTATACGATAGCATCTTTTGGCGTCACAAAACTCAATGCTCAGTATTATGTCGTCTGAAGATGTAATAGTATAGCGTGACACGTTCCGCGGCTTTGTAAATTTTCAAGTGTAAATCTCATATTAAAGTGTATTTTTAGAAAACAACAGAATATTTTTATATGAAGCTTTCTCCAGACAAAACAATGCAAAATTTTTAGAAAACAACCCTATCATATGACTCAATTTGAAATTAGTTTTCAAGAAGTTAAAATGTTGATACCTTTGATGTAGAGGTTCATAACCTGCTGATTTTACTACAACTTCAAAAATCGTTTCCATCCCTTCACCCAAATTCCTTTTCGAAGTTGTCAATATCTGGATGAAAAAATTTAAATTGGATTGTGAAAAGGGTGTCACAAATTATTGGGTTATATATAATATCAATATATCTAATAATCAATGAATCTAAATTCAAAAAGTTTTTGTTGAATGCGAGACGAGACAAATTAGCAAAGACAATAAATAATATAATCTACTTGATTAACATTTCTAACAGGACTTTTTCACTATTTTACATCACCTGAGATGTTGACTAAACAACTATATCTAGTTAATGACGAAAAACTAAAGTTCAATGCAGAAACATCATCAACGTTTTTCTGCTCCTAGTTACATGTTCATCAGTAACATATTATTGTCTTGGGATAAAACACTGAATTACAATCAGTCAATTTTCAAAAATTAATATTTATTTGGACAATTGTAACCATATATGGGAGAAACTTACTTATGTTAAAAATAAAAATATATGTTGAAATGTTTTTCCGTTAGCCAGCTGTAGCCCCCTACGAATGACAACTCTCAAAAGTCAAAACTTGTGCGAGCTAAGGATTGAGAGGTCTTACCTTTTAAAGTGTGATTCCTAACACGGAATCTGTTGGAATTGGAAATGGGGTTTTTATGAATTTACACACACAGATGATGATTTTTTTTAAGAAGAGTTATTCAGGTATATGAATGTGAAATACACATGGAAAAATTTATTTGTTTTAACAATATTGGCAAAACGTTGATGAGGTTTTTCATCAAGTCTATCGTAATTTTCAACAAGGAAATAATCAATAAAAACCTTTAAGTAGTAAAAACTAATAACCTCATTGAAGGTTTGTTGTAAACGCGCTGATTCCATTATTTTCCATTTCATCCATTATTTCTATTACATAAGCTGCTACATCAACTTCTTCCTTTTGGGCTCGTAGGATGAATGGATCCTTGAGGAGCTCTTTATATTTTGGTCTATGATTTTCTTGTTTTATTAAGCTACAAATAATAAGACACCCTTTTAATAAGCTACCTATTAATGTAGCTACCAATAAAATGCAATTTGCAATTTTTGCAATTTTTCAAAATATACTATGCTGTCTGTTTAAATAAAAATGTAAGGCACATTTGTTATACATTTTACTGATTAGATACCCTTCCTGTTGCCTTTCATTCAAATTATTTAATCATATAATGTTTATATGAGACCGCCTCTTACTAAATGGGCTTTTTTCAGAATATTATTCCAGCCAGGCCTTTTTTTTCTATTTTGCCAAATACTAAACTACTTTTAAATGCTTATGTTTGCTAAAACTTATTGCATTGGGACCTGAACAAATTTTTTTTTGAAATTTGTAACATATGATCCATTTAAAAGTAAAAAAACAATTATCAAGAAGCATACTTCCATCAATAAAAACTCATAAAATGACACCGTTTCTCTGATCCATGGTTAACTTATCTCAAACATAAGAAATTTTCATTATAATA